TAGAGCGCTTGCCTTGCATGCATGAGGCCCTGGGTTCGATTCCTCAGCACCACATAAGCCAAAAGAAAAAAGCCGGAAGTGGCACTGTGGCTCAAGTGGTAGAGTGCTAGCCTTGAGCTGAAGAGCTGAGGGACAGTGCCCAGGCCCAGAGTTCAGGCACCACAACTGGACCCCCCCCCAAAAAAAGCAAAGAAATTTACAATGAGATAACTAACATACAAAGTAATTTTTTTAACTTGACCACATAAGTAAAAATAGCAACTCAAACCCAGACAGCCTAATGTCCCAGTGTATGCTGTCATGACATACTCTTTGATTCTTTTTTTTTTGCTGGTCCTGGGGCTTGAACTTAGGACTTGGGTACTGTCCCTGAGCCTCTTTGTTTTTTTTTTATTTTCTTTTTCTTTTTTTTTTTTTTTTTTTTTTGGTCAGTCATGGGGCCTGAACTCTGGGCCTGGGTGCTGTCCCTCAGCTCTTCAGCTGAAGGTTAGCACTCTACCACTTGAGCCACAGCGCCACTTCCGGCCTTTTCTGCCCATGTGGTGCTGAGGAATCAAACCCAGGGCCTCATGCATGCAAGGCAAGCACTTTACCACTGAGCCACCTTCCCAGCCCCCCCTGAGCCTCTTTGTACTAAAGGCTAGCCTCCACCACTTGAGCCAAAGCATCACTTCCAGTCATTTCTGAGTAGTTTATTGACATGAGAGTTTCATAGACTTTTCTGCCCTTCCTGGCTTCAAATCAAGATCCTCAGATCTCAGCCTCCTCAGTAGCTAATATTACAGGCATGAGCCACCAGCATCCATCTTTGTTTTATAGTACTGGGATTTGAGTTAAGAGTTTTATGCTTAGAAGGCAGGCAATGTATGGCTAAGCCACAGATCTAGCCATTTTCTGACTGGTTATTTTTGAGAGGTCTCAGTTTCTCTGTGGACTTATTCCTGGACTTCAAACTTCAGACTACCCAGCGTAGCTGGGATGACAGACATGTTCTACTATGCCCAGCTTCTTACATGAAATGGGAATCTCATAAACTTTTCTGCCCAGGCTAGTCTAGAACTAGCCTCCCAAACTCAATCTTACAAGTAGCTAAGATTATAGGCACAAGCCACTGGAACCACATAAACTTCTGCATTCTTTAAAAAAAGACACTGAAGCCAAACACCAGTGGCTCATGCCTGTAATCCTAGCTATTCAGGAGGCTGAGATCTGAGGATCACAGTTAAAAGCCAGCCCAGGCAAGAAAGTCTGTGAGACTCTTATCTCCAATAAACCACCAGAAAACCAGAAGTGGCACTATGGCTCAAGTGATAGAGTGCTTGCCTTGAGCTAAAGAGCTGAGAGATAGCACCCAGGCTCAGAGTTCAAGCCCTATGACTGACAAAAAAAAAAGACACTGAGGCTGAAAATGTGGCTTAGTGGTACCGTACATGAAGCCCTGGGTTCAATTCTTCAGTACTACATAAACAAAAATTGCCGGAAGTAGCGCTGTGACACAAGTGGTAGAGGACTAGCCTTGAGCAAAAGAAGCTCAGAGACAGTGCCCAAGCTCTGAGTTCAAGCCCCAGGACTAGCAAAAAAAGACACTGAGACCACAGCGTCTCCTACATCTCATTCTCTCCACAATATCTCACCAACAGATAATCCCCTTCCTTTGAGATCTTACACTGTTTGCCCATCTGTGAAAGATCACTATAAGACATAATGACAGGGTTGGGAAGGTGGCTCAGTGGTAAAGTGCTTGCCTCACATGCATGAGGTCCTGGGTTGGATTCTCAGTACCATATAAACAGATAAAGCCGGAAGTGGAGCTGTGGCTCAAGTGGTAGAGTGCTAGTCTTGAGCTGGAAGACCTGAGGGACAGCGTCCAGGCCCAGAGTTCAGGCCCCATAACCAACCAAAACAAAAAAAAAAGGGGGGGGGAGAAGGGGTACAATAGCTGGGGATACATTTCAGGGGTAAAGGGTTAACCTAGTATGCATGAAATTCTACATTCAATAACCAGTATTACCAAGAGGAAAAAAAGCCCTTTGTGACCGGGAACCAGTGGGTGACACCTGTAATCCTAGCTATTCAGAACTCTGAGATCTGAGGATCGCAGCAAAGCCAGGGCTCAAAAGTCTGTGAGACTCTTTTTTTTTTTTTTTTGGTCGTGGGCTTGAACTTTGGGTTTGGGCGCTACCCCTCAGCTCTTCAGCTCAAGGTGAGCACTCTACCATTTGAGCCACAGCGCCACTTCCAGTTTTCTAGTGGTTTATTGGAGATAAGAGTCTCATGGACTTTTCCTGCCCAGGCTGGCTTTGAACCCTGATCCTCAGATCTCAGCCTCCTGAGTAGCTAGGATTATAGTCAGGAGCCACAGGTGCCCAGCTGGTCTCTGAGACTCTTATCTCCAATAAGCCACTCAGAAAACAGGAAGTTGTGCTGTGGCTCAAGTGGTAGAGCACATAGCCTTGAGTTAAGGAGCTGAGGGACAGTGCCCAGGCCCAGAGTTCAAGCCCCAAGACCGACAAAAATAAATAAAGCCCTTTGTATTTAATAATCCAATCATCAAATGAAATACATACTACTACCTTAATTTTATGAGAATTTTATTTTGCCTAAAACAACAAAGTTGGCAATAGGTAAAAGTAATTAAATCTTTCTCAAATTCCTTCTCTCTATGGAATTTTTAAAACTAGAGGGCTGGGGCTTGATAACCTCAGTTCAAACCCAAATATCATTTAAAAAAAAGGGGGGGGGGGCACTGGTGGCTCACACCTGTAATCCCACCTACACAAGAGGCTAAGATCTGAGAATCCTAGTTCAAAGCCAATTGGGACAGGGAAGTCCATGAGTCTCTTATCTCCAATTAACCACCAGAAAACTGGAAGTGGTGCTGTGGCTCAAAGTGGTACAGTGCTAGCCTTGAGCAAAAGAGCTTAGGGACAATGCCCCAGAGTTCAAGGCCCACAGCAAAAAAGAAAAAAAAGAAATAAAAAAGATTGAGTTAAAACTATAATTTTGGGCTGGGAAGGTGGCTCAGTGGTAGAGCGCTTGACTTGCATGCATGAGGCCTTGGGTTCGATTCCTCAGCACCACATAAGCAAAAAGAAAAAAGCCGGAAGTGGCGCTGTGGCTCAAGTAGTAGATAGACGGCTAGCCTTGAGCTGAAGAGCTGAGGGACAGCACCCAGGCCCAGAGTTCAGGCCCCACGACCAGACCCAAACAAAACAAAACAAAACAAAACTATAATTCTATGCCAGCTCCAAGTTGATCCAGAATATCAACAATCCCACTTTATCCAAGAAAAGTCAGCCAATTCACTATACCTGGCAAGTATCATCCCTGTTTTCTGGATACTAGAACAGAACAAGTCTAAGCACATGAACCAGTAAAAGGAAGATCCATATCTCATGTGTACTCTGAACAATGCTCAGAATAAGTGTTTAGCCTATATTTGAAAGCAGAAATAACTAAGAGACTTTTCCAAGACAAAGTAGCAAGTAGTAAAACAAGAAGTTTTCTCAGGGCTGGGAAGGGGGCTTAGTGGTAGAGATGCCTTGCATATGTGAGACCCTGAGTTCAATTCCTCAGCACCACAAAAGCAGAAAAAGCTGGAAGTGGAGCTATGGCTCTAGTGGTAGAGCGCTAGCCTTGAGCTAAAGAGCCAAGGGACAGTGCCCAGGCCCAGAGTTCAGGCCCCATGACAAAAAAAAAAGCCATAGTCTATACCTATTACAGGTGAACTAGATTCCAAGAAGATCATTTAGCCTAGTGATGTAACTTAGTGGTAGACTGCTTGCCTGGGCCCAACTCTCAATAGCACAGAACAATAATAAAATAGAATAGACAGAACTCAATCTGGTCCCATTAACATCTACTGAATCCATCTAAATTCACAGATTAATATAATACTGATAAAGAGGTTTACATAAATTTAGCTACCTCAGGTTCCCTGTGAAATTATCTTACACAGAAATGCATCTGTACCTTCAGGAGGAGGAGCAAACAAACTATCTAAACTGATAGAATGTCAGGAAATTCTAATTCAAAAACTTCTTCTTAACATTTCCAATATAAGAATTCACCGTGAGCCTGGCTCTGGTGGATCACACCTATAATTCTAACTATTCAAGAGGCTGAGATCTGAAGCTCGTGTTACGAAGCCAGCCCAGAGAAGGAAGTCCATGAGACTCTTTAACTCCAACAAACTACTCAGAAAAAGCTGGATATGGCACTGTAGCTCAAATGGTAGAGTGCTAGCCTTGAGTAAAATGAAGCTCAGGGACAGGGCACAAGCCCAAAGCTCAAGCCTCAGAACCAAAAAAAAAAAAAAAAACAAACTTCACTATAAGATCTTCTTCTCAATAAGCAGAAGCTTCTTGTTAATTAATTCTGTCTACCCAAACACTGGTGTCTCACACCTGTAATACTAGCTACTCAGGAGACTGAGATCTGAGGATCTTGGTTGGAAGCCAGCCCTGACAGTAAAGTCCATGAGACTCTTATCTCCAATTAACCACCAGAGAAACAGAAGTGGCACTGTGGTTAAGTGGTAGAGTGCAAGCCTTGAATAAAAGAAGCTCAGGGACAGTGCCCAGGCCCTACAACTGAAAAAAAAAAAAAATTAATCCTGTCTATCTTCTGTTCAAGACCTGAACTTCCTCAAACAACATATCATGCGTGTCTTCTCATTTCCTTTCATGCTTCATAAAGCCAGGCTCCAGGGGCTCATGCCTGTAATCCTAACTACTCAGGAGACTGAGATCTGAGAACCAATGTTCAAAGCCAGCCCAAGCAGGAAAGTCTGTGAGACTCTTATCTCTAATTAATCAACAGAAAACCAGAAGTGGCACTGTGGCTCAAGTGGTAGAGTGCTCACCTTGAACTGAAGAGCTCAGGGACAGTGCTTAGGCCCAGAGCTCAAGCCCCAATAAATAAATAAATACCAACCACCTAAGGATAAAATGAAAATTACAGGGCTTAGAGAGTGAAACTCAGTAGTAAAGAGCACTTGCCTAGCATGTGGTCCTAGGTTCCATCCCCAGCACTGCAAAGAAAAAAGAAAAAAATGAAAATTATATGATAGACTGCCATAATCATAAAGAAAATGCAAAGAGTAACCACAAACTTATAGTCAATTTGATTTCTTGCTAGTTTAATAATTAACATTTATCAAGGCCTTAAACTAACACAAGCATAGTATAAGACAAAATAGGCTCAAAAAATTTACTAAGTATGGCCCCTGACTTGAAAAGCTCACTATTAGGTACAAGAAGTGCATATCCTGGGGCTGGGAAGTGGCTCAGTGGTAGAGCGCTTGCCTTGCATGCCTGAGGCCCTGGTTCGATTCCTCAGCACCACATAAGCAAAAAAAAAAAAAAAGAAGTGCATATCCTCAGGGCTGGGAAGGTGGCTCAGTGGTAGAGCGCTTGACTTGCATGCATGAGCCCTGGGTTCGATTCTTCAGCACCACATAAGCAAAAAGAAAAAAGCCGGAAGTGGCGCTGTGTCTCAAATGGTAGAGCACTAGCCTTGAGCTTCAGCTCCCAGGCTCAGAGTTCAGGCCCCATGACCAGACCAAAAAAAAAAAGAAGTGCATATCCTGTATCCTGATACTTACTAATAAAAGAAATAAATAAACACTTTTCCTGAGGACTTTTTCATATATGCCCTCACTTACTCAAGAGCTATTACAACCAAGCTATTCTCTCACTAAGCCTCCTTATTTCCACCCTCCTAGTAATGTCTTCCTCTACACAAGCAACTTAACCTCAGATTAATACCTCAGATTGTCCTCATTAATTTCCTCCCATTGCCACTCCTACCTTTAAAATTCTGCTCTGGGGGGGGGGGGAGGGGGGAGGGGAGGAATATAGCACAGTGGTAAAGCACCTGCCTAGCAAGTGCAAGGTCCTGACCTCAAAACTGAAAAGAAAAAAATATCTGCTCTACTTTTTTTGTTTGTTTGTTTTGTTCCAGTATGGAGGCTTGAACTCAGCCTCATGCTCTCATTCAGTATTTTTGTTCACAGTTGGCACTCTATCACTTTAGTCACATCTCCACTTCTCGCTTTTTGCAGATTAATTAAAGTTTCAAGTATTTTTCTGCCTGGGATAGCAACCTAAATAGGATCCTCAGAGCTCAGCTTCCTGAGTAGCTAGAATTATATGAGCCTCCATAATCCAGCTGCTCTACTTTCTCTATAACTTCAAATACAGAATATTAGTTATTTTCACATCCTAGTCAATGAAATCTCCATGTATTCTATCTCTTAGAAATCAGATCCCACTCTTCCGAAACAGTTCCTGCCATCATTATCCCAGCATAATTTATTCAGACCGTCAGTCAATAGCAAAAACTAGTTTGTCTCCTTTTTCATTATTTTAACGTTAATCCCAAACTTAAAATCTTCAATGACTCCCCACTCTCATCTCCAGACAATTTCCCAATATACATCCTATTTTAGACAATTTTTTTTTTTTTGGGTCCGGTCATAGGGCCTAAACTCTGGGCCTGGGCACTGTCCCTCAGCTCTTCAGCTCAAGGCTAGCGCTCTACCACTTGAGCCACAGCGCCACTTCCAGCTTTTTTTTTCTTTTTGCTTATGTGGTGCTGAGGAATCGAACCCAGGGCCTCTGGCATGCAAGGCATGCGCTCTACCACTGAGCCACCTTCCCAGCATCGACAAATTTTTGTTGTTGTTGTTTTGTTTTTGTCGGTCATGGGGCCTGAACTCTGGGCCTGGGCACTCTCCCTTAGCTCTTCAGCTCAAGGCTAGCACTCTACCACTTGACCCATAGCTCCACTTCCCTTTTTTTTCTGCTTATGTGGTGCTGAGAAATCCAACCCAGGGCCTCATGCATGCAGGGCAATCACTCTACCACTCACTGAGCCACCTTCCTAGCCCTAGACAAATTTTTGATATATAAATACCACATCACTTCTTTCCCTCACATTTTCCACCATGTCTTTGTAAAGACTGTTTTCTCCAAGTGAATGACTTTTCTCCCTTGTGCAAGTATCTACTCGTCCTTGCCACCCAACTCAAGTATCTGGTGCCTACAAAGATCGCTGACTCTCCAGGCAGCAGCTGTATTTCACTGTACAAATATCTTCTCTATGTGCATACGTAACACAGCACTACTAATCTCATCAAAATATGTCTCTCTGAAGTCTCTGAGGAAAGATATTATTTCTAATCTCAGGGTCAGTTACATGGTAAGTACTCAATAAATGTATTTTGAATAAACAGCTCACCCTCATTTATCCTGGATCAATTTGCCATTTGACCATATTGTTCAAACTACAGATTTTTAAACTGTGCTCAGTGTGAAAGTCCAAATTTGGTGGTTTTTCAGGGGTTCTGCTGTGTGTACATGCGTGCACACACCAGTATTAGGCTTGAACTCAGCTTAGCTTTTTTACTCCACACTAGTGCTCTACCACTTGGGCCACACCTCCATTTCTGTTTTTTTTCTGGTTGAGTGGAGATAAGACTGTATATCACATTGACAATTTAAAAAAAAAAAAAAAAAAGAGTCTCAAGGACTTTCCTGCCCTGGTTGGTTTTGGATCCTGAATCTCAGCCTTCTGATTAGCTAAGATTCCAGGCATGAACTACCTACACCTGGCCAAATTTGATACTTTCAAGTTTGTTTTTTAAATATGCAAATGTAGGGCTGGGAAGGATGCTCAGTGATAGAGTGCTTGCCTTGCATGCATGAGGCCCTGGATTCCATTCCTTAGCACCACATAAGCAGAAAAAGCTGGAAGTGGCACTGTGGTAGAGCGCTAGCCTTGAGCTGAAGAGCTGAGGGACAGCACCCACACCCACACTTTAGGCCCCACGACCGGCAAAAATAAATAAATAAAATGCAAATGTAGAACATGACACTAAATTACAACGTCTGAAAATCTAATGAAAACATATTAAAGACTTCCTTATTCAGTAAGAATGGGAATTTCCAGTACCATCCTAACCAAAGGAATCGAATCTACTTTTCCCTAGAAAGGGAGAAAAGCCTTTCAGAAATTATACAATGTACCCAAGTCCAACTGGATACACACTGAAAATAATTCCAAAGAAGTAACCTGCACTAAATTAGGGCCAAAGATAGAATTATTTGTCCTAGTTTACAAATAAACGCATCTTGCTAAGTTCAAAACTTCCCGCCCTCTCACCCCCTCCCAGAGAGGAAAAACCCAATGGGATGTGATGATCCAGAAACATTTATTAGAGCCCAGCCTGAGTTTCCACTGCCCCGTTCCTCGGTCGCAGCACTCCTCAGCTTCAGGTCGCTCTCCTTTCCCAGGGAACCAGTTGTCGGTCCTCAGTTTCCTCCCCACACTCTCCTGGAAACAAGTTAGTTTCCTGGCGGAAACCAAATAACCCCAAGAAAACACTGCAGCTTCCTTCATGGATTCTGTGTGAAGGGTGAGCTGAAACTGGTGGGTCTGACACTAAAGAGGGCAGAGCAGGGCCCTTCCAGGACACCAGAAGACTTTCCGGACAGACCGACCGGCCCTCTTCCAGATCATCTCTTGGAGATCTTGGTCCTGGCCTTCACAGCTCAGGGACATAAACAACTTGGGAAGAGAGGTTCTCAAGGCAGCTAAAGGGGTCGAGGTCAACTTAGGGCTGAGGTCAAAGGTCAGAGCCTGGGCTGCCTGGGCTACCTGGATGCCCCCGCAGGAGCAGGAAGAGGGACGAGGCCCGCACCAAGGGGCTCGGCAGGACCCGCCACAGGGGAAGCGGACCTAGAGCGGCTGGACCAGGGGCGTCCCAGGCCCAGCCTTCCCCACCGGCCGCACACCCCCTCAGCAGCAGTCCATCCTCCCTCCCATCCCCCCCCCCCCCCCCCGTCACCCCCGTCGTCCCCACGGCAAGCGCAAGCCCCGCCTACAGAGCCGCCTCTGGGCCAAGGCCTACTATGACAGGACTCGAAGCAGTCCCAGAGGTTCGAGGGCCGGGCCGGGCCGGCACCGCTTACCCAGCCCCCGGCTCCTCCTCTATTACCCGCGCCGCTCCCGGGCCCGCTCGCTCCCGACAACACCGACGGCGCCACGGCTCGGAGTTCACGGGCGGGCGCGCTCCCGACCTCCGCGACCCTTCCCCCGTCGGCCGCGCCACGCCGGGTCCTAAAACCCGCCTTGCGCTGTGTTTGTCCACGCCCGCTTCCTGAGTTGGCTCAGACCACGATTCCCAGCAAGCACCGCAGAGACTACAACTCCCGAAAGGCATCGCGAGAAAGACCTTAGCAGAGAAACTCATCCAGAGTCCCTGCTTGATGCAAGTAACAATGGAACGGTTTTTTTTGACATCACTGACGCTTTGAACTCACTAACCCGTGTAGGAATAAATGAATCCTCTAGAAACAGCAATGTTTGGAAAGGCCTAGCTTACAAGTCCTTCTTTGCAACTTTGTAAGTTGTGTATTAGAAACAGACTCAAGAAATGTATCAACTACGTACAAAACATTCTGTAGACTTGTATTAACAGGGTAAATCTGTCTGGTTTTCTCTTATGCAAGTGGGACCTTAGCTTTGAGGTCCATCTTCAGCAGCCCTTCCCCCAAAAAAGTACCAGGCGTCTACTGTGTGTATGTGAATATTTGATATAATCTTAACCAGGGCGAATGAAGGGATATCATCTGGACTTGGCCACTAGATGCAGCCTTCAAGGACTTTGGCTCTTGATCAAGAGATGTAAAAATGACTGGGCACTGGGTTGTTCATATCTGAAATCCTAGTTATTTGTGAGGCTGAGTTCAAGAGAATGGCGGTTCAAGACCAGATTAGGCAAAAAGTTCAATAGTTACAGAGACATACAGAAATATATATAGCAATTTTCACACACACACACACTTACTTTTTCCTTCACCAGTTATCAATTGAAGTCTGTCTTTGTGACTGACTCTACCCTAAAAATGAAGATAGGATAAAAAATGGCAAAAATCCTATGGCAAATAAAAGCAACTGGAGGAAAATTTGGATTAAGAAAATTTTAGGACATATTGAGATGAAAATACCAGTGAAATATACAAACAAATATCTAGTAGATACTTGTAGATCTAGTAGTAGATATGTAGATATGTAGTAGATCTAGTAGATCTAGATACACTTTATTGGTACTCAGCAGAGATATCTAGGGTGTAGATAAACATTTCCCAGTTATTGGTTTTTGAAGCAATTGTTCAAGCCTTGAGGAAGAAAATAATCTATGAAGAGGGAAAGTGAAAGTGAGACAAAGTCCCAGATGTAGCTGGAGCATGGGAGGAGTGCCAACATACATAAAAGTGTGTTGTTACTGTTTTTCCTAGCAAACTGTTGGTTTTGATGATGAGTTGTTGATGTGGTAAAGTTAAGTTGTTTGGGGCAATGACTCTGACTGGGCCAGAATGCCTGAGGGGAAATCTCACCTCTACTGCCTAATAATCTTTTTTGTTGGTGGTGGTGGCGGTCTGGGGCTTAAACTCAGGGCTTTAGCGCTGTCTCTCAGCTCTGCAGCTCAAGGCTAGTGCTCAACCGCTTGATTCACAGTGTCACTTCCGGTTTTCTGGTGGTTTATTGGAGATAAGAGTCTCACGGACTTTCCCGTCCTGGCTGGCTTTAAACTGCGATCCTCAGATCTCAGCCTGAGTAGATAGGATTACAGGCGTGAGCCACCCATGCCCAGCTGCTTAATAATCTTAAAAAATCAAGGACAATTTTCTTCTTCACCTCTTTGATATATGTGTGTGTGTCTGTGTGTGCCTGGGGGTGGGGGGGGAGTTTGCTTGTTTGTTTTGAATTCACTTGAGCCATGCCTCCAGCCCCTGGCACTTTCTTTTCTGTAAAGAGGGGGCCACCTGGCCCATAGTGCTTGCTATGGAAATGTTAAAGTACTACTATTATTTTTCACTAAATTGTCATCTCCACGAGGCTGAAGTTTTCCATTTTATTCAGGATCTTCTATTTATAGCCTGGCACAATGTAACTGCTCCAGAAAAGTTTCATTAATGAATGTTAGGGTAAGAGAGTGAGACTTGGAAAGAAAGCATAACTCTCAAATCAGGATCCAGAAAAATTGCAGTTCCTGTATTGAGCTCTGGGTCGGTCCCACCACGGTTTGCAAGGGCCTGGACTAGTAAGCTGCAGCCCTGCTTGGACAGTACTCCAGGGTGAAGTCGCGGGCCCAAAGCCACCCACGCTTCAGTGAGCCCACCCCCTGCCCGGCAGGACTCCCTTGGGCTCCGCCCACATGGGCGTGTCACGCAGGGAGAGCGTATCCTGGGGCAATCCCCGAGCTAGCCTGTCGGGGCGGGGTGGGGCGGGGCAGACTCTCAGGCTGGGCCTAGGCCCGCCTCGCCCGCGGGGAACGGAAGTCTCAACCTGGCTCTCGACCCCTCCGAGAATCACCGACCGAGGGGAGAGCGGGGCTTCCATCCACGGGGCGGCTGGGCTCGGGCGAGCTCCGTTACGGGGAAGCACTATGAAGCGTGTGGGGAGTCTGCGCCTGCTTTCAGACCTGAGCAACTTCAGCGGCGCAGCCCGGCTCCGGGAGTTGTTGGCCGGGGACCCAGCCGTCCGAGTCCGCGGTAGCCTGGATGGCCGCTACCTGCTGCTGCTGAGACCCCCGGGATCACCCAGTCCGCAGCTGCTGGTGGCTGTGCGTGGGCCCGGCGTGGAGCTGGAGCGAGCCTGGCCGGAGGGCCAGCCCTCCCCGCTAGACGCCTTCTTCCTGCCCTGGCCTGCGCGCCCCGCGCTCATCCTGGTGTGGGAGAGCGGCCTAGCCGAAGTCTGGGGCGCAGGCATAGAGCCCGGCTGGCGGCTGCTTCAGAGCACCGAGCTGTGTCCGGCCGGGCGAGCCCGCGTGATGGCCGTGGCGGCGCCGCGGGGCCGCCTGGTATGGTGCGAGGAGCGACAGTCGGGCGCTGAGGACCAGCCAGGGCGACCCGCCACCGCCTTCAGCCACTGCGTTTGCGCCGTGAGTCTGGAGCCAAGCGGAGAGGCTGGTACCATCCTGGGCCGCACACAGGTCCTGCTGCACCACTGCCCCTCTTTGGGGGTGATAGCCTCCCGCAAAGACATCTTTCTCGTGCCCACTGCGACCACCTGGCCTGGGGTGGCCCACATCCTGCTCATCTGGAGCCCCACCAAGGGCAAGGTGATAGTGGCCGCCCCAGGTCTTGGCCTCTCCCACAGTAGAAGCCTGAATCCCAGACAAGGGGACACCTGGGACTTTCGGACCCTGCTTCGAGGCCTTCCTGGGTTGCTGTCACCCAGGGAGCCATTGGCTGTACACACCTGGGCTCCAACTCCTCAGGGCCTGCTGATGCTTGACTTCAGAGGCACCGTGAGCCTAGTGCAGTCCCATGGTTATACCCGAACTGTTGGCACCCTGCAGGAAGCACCCATAGGCCTGGACAGTTCTGCAGCCTTGGGAACATTTCATGGTACTCTGGCCTGTGTGTTGGGCTCCTCCCTGGAACTACTGGATATGGGAAGTGGGCAGCTGCTGGAGAGGAAAGTCCTAAGTACAGACAGAGTACATTTGCTCGAGCCCCCAGCCCCTGGCACGAAGGATGACAAAGAGCTGGAGACCCGAGGTCTGCGCTTGCTTTCAGCCTTGGGTCTGTTCTGTGTGGGTTGGGAAGCTTCCCGGGACCTTGACCTGCCCTCAGCCAGCAACCTGGTGTTTGAGGAGGCCTGCAGCTACTACCAACGGCGAAGCCTGCGAGGTGCCCAGCTCACTCCAGAGGAACTGAGACTCAACAGCACCTTCCAGGCACCTCAGGCCTTGGCCTCCATCCTGCAAGGCCACCTACCTCCATCTGCCCTGTTGACTACACTGAGAGCTGAGCTTCGGGATTACCGGAGTTTAGAGCTGCTCAAGACCCAGCTGGTAGCTGGAGATGAGGAGGAGGCTGGCTGGACTGAGCTGGCAGAACGTGAAGTGGCCCGCCTGCTGAGGACTGAGTTGACGGGAGACCACCTGGCCCAGCTCAACACTGTTTTCCAAGCCCTTCCTACTGCAGCCTGGGGTGCCACATTCCGGACCCTACAGCTCCAACCGGATGGGAATGGCAAGCTGAGGTCTCAAGCTCCCCCTGATGTGTGGAAGAGGGTGCTACAGGATACAACAGCTACAAAGGACCCTCCCAATGGGATACTGCCTCCTTTTGAACTCCTGTGCCAGTGCTTATGCCAGTTGGAGCCTCAGTGGTTGCCTCCCTTTGTAGAACTGGCACAGCTGCAGGGTGGGCCAGGATGGGGGGCTGGAGGCCCAGGGCTACCCCTCTATCGCCGGGCCCTAGCAGTGCTAGGTGAAGATGGAACCAGACGTGAAGCACTGGAGCTAGAGCTGCTTCTAGGCAGTGGACGCCCCAAAGCTGTACTGCAAGCTGTGGGGCAGCTGGTACAAAAGGAGCAGTGGGAGAGGGCCCTGGAAGCTGGCCTGGCCCTTGCCCCCTCCAGTCCTCTGCTTCGAAGCGAGATCTTCAAACTGCTACTGGCTGAGTTTGCCAGACATCGCCACCTTGATGCTCACCTCCCACTTCTTTGCCGCCTCTGCCCACCTGAAGTGACCCCAGAAGATCTCCTTCTTCTACTACAAACACATCTCCCAGATGAGGTGGGGCCTCCTGCTCCATTCCCTGAGCCGGGTGTAGAGCCCCCTCTCACGGTGGGCTTGCTTAAAGCCCTGCTGGAACAGACTGGAGCCCAAGGAAGGCCTTCAGGCCCAGTTCTAAGCCCATATGAGGACATCCTTTGGGACCCAGGCACTCCACCTCCTACCCCACCTCGAGGACCAGTGACTACTCTTTAGACATCAACAACCCAGGCCTGGAGTCCTAGGAACCATCTGAACAGGGCTCTTGTGTGACTGACATAGGAAATCACTTGCAGGACACAGTGATCAAGGAAGAGTGCCTAGGAGTTGGAAGGGGCCAAGGTGGAGCCTGTGTGTGCAATATTCTTCTCTCACTCTTGGAGAAAACTTAAATATTTATTAATATTAAAATATACACTTTTTTTGAACAGCTGAGGGTCTGAGGAAATTGTGAGACTTGGATAAATCTGAATCTGTTGGTAAAACAGACACTTCTATTCATGAAAATAATGTTTATGAGCATTTCATATGCCTTAGGCACTCTGTTGGGCTTTATACAATCCCTTATCTGATGCTTCTCATTGCTCCACTGGGAAAGTACTAATGTTAGTCCAATTTCCAAGTGGTGAAAACAGAAGTCTAGAAAGACTAAGTGACCAAGTAAGTAGATTAGAAAGTAACTAGTAAGCTACTAGAAAGTAGCAGCTGTAACATTTGAACCACTTCATTGTACAACTTGTAGCTTTTGCCTGCTTATGTGTATTCTTCATCCTTGGTTCAATGCAGGCTTCTCTAACCTCTTATAAGAAGAGGATTCTGAAGAGCTCCACCTTCCTTTCCCCAAAACTCTGGGTAGAAACTGTGATGGGTCCTGAGCCTGTGCTTGCTCCAGGATTGCTGGAGCATCTCCTGGCTTTGAGAAGACTTGCCACAGACAGGAGAGCTGCCCACTTTGGCTTAATAACAAGAATCACAGGGAACAGACCTACTTGGAGGCCATACATTTCCTACTGGCTTCTTAAGTCAAAAAATAAAAGTATGTGCAGCACAGATTTCTGCTTGTCTGGTTTACTCAATTGGACCCTCTTCAAAGAGGCCTTGGTCTGTCCTCACTTCTGCCCAAGGAACCCTTCTACCTATCATTGTAGAACCCTAAATACTGCTACTTATCATCCTGAACCCCCTTGATCCAAGGGCACCAAGCTGAAGGCTGCCACTCATCTTTGTCCTGGGACCTGAAGCTTAGATTCTGCTCAGCCTCATCTGGGACATAAAATAGACTCTGGCTCATTGGACTAGAGACAGTTCAGCAGTCTCAGAAGAAAAGGGTAACCTCTTGGCCATGGCCATTGTTGTTGTTAGCTCTTTAGCATTAAGAAGGTCCCAAGGTAGCTCATCTGAGGGTCAGGTCTGGGGATGTCTCCTTAGCCTCATTGAAGTCAGTAGGACACCTGGGTCTTATCCAGGGCTTGCATGGGTTTTGTTTGTTTGTTTGTTCGTTTTTGTCGATCATGGGTCTGAACTCTGGGCCTGGGCGCTGTCCCTCAGCTCTTCAGCTCAAGGCTAGCACTCTTCACTCAAGGCTAGCCACAGCGCCACTCACTTCTGGCTTTTTCTGCTTATGTGGTGCTGAGGAATCAAACCCAGGGCCTCATGCATGCAAGGCAAGCACTCTACCACTGAGCCACCTTCCCAGCCCCTTGTATGGTTTTTATCCTAGACCTCAAGCCAGCTTTCAATCTTCAAGTGGACTCAAGCTACTGATCTTTTAGCTGCTGCTCCTCCCAGAGACACAGAGATAGGAACAGTTCCTCCCTTAGCTTTCCACCTCAGCCCCTTCCTGGTCTGGCAGAGGTTCCTCCTCCTCTTGGTCTTAAAGCTGAGACCATTATGCCCCTTCTGGGGAAAGTTGAGGTGGCCAAAAGCAGGAAACTATTCATGATTCTACTCTTTACAACCTCAGAGTTGACTTGGTCCTCCTTCTGTGCCATTATTTTCAATGGGTCCCTGGGGACATAAAAAAGGCAAGCCAAGTTTTACTTAAGTTATATGGTTTGAGGAAGTTTCACAGGGCCTCTTATTAGAAAGGCCTCTACATGGAGACCACTAATCTGGCAGTTGTGAGGAGATAAGGTGGGCTTAGATATTAATTAGAGTCTGTGTGTGTGTGTGTGTGTGTGTGTGTGTGTGTGTGTGTGTGTGTGTGTGTGTTACTGGTATTTGAACTCAGGACCTTACACTTGCTAGCCAGATACTTTACCTATTGAGCTATGCACCCAGTTTGTTTTGTTTTTTTTTGCTTTCTTTTTCTAATAGGGTCTGCATATATACCTAGGCTGGCCTAGACTACAATTCTCCTGTTTACACTTGCCACTTAGCTTGGATGACAAGCACATGCCAGCTTTTATTGGTTGAGATGGGAGTCTCACAAACTTAAAATGGGCTGGCCTTTGAACAGCAATCCTTTCAATCTCAGGCTCCTACATAACTAGGATCCACTGCACCCTACCTTTTCCCTTTTCCCTAGTCTTTATAGGCTAAGCATTTGATTAATTAATTAATGACTAAAGGCCTAACTCCTAACAGAGACATCCTTTCCTTCATGTCTGGCTCTGCCTCTTTCCCGTCTTCTCTCCAGCCTTTCATCTTTGATGTTGTGAATACCTAGTTATTTGTTTGTCTCCTTAATTAACACACAAGTTCCTTGAGGGCACAGCCCATGATTATTTGTATTTTTGTAACTTCAGCAGGTAATACAATGCCAGGTCCCTGGGCAAAAGGAGCTAAATAATAATAGGTTCAGTTATTAGTGTGAATGTAAGATTTGACTGGTCTCTATAGGCCCTATAGTGAGAAGGGATTAAGTGCTGGGGCCTTTTTTCTTTTCTGGCATTCTTCCCATATTCCCACAGGCTAGACTGATTGGTTAATATAGATCTTAAACTGATGGAAAGAAGGCAGATGGATCTGAAGACTATGCCTTCTGGTAATACTGGAAACAATGAGTTGACTAAGAGAACCTGTCCTTAAGAAATATTCTATGTTGGGCTGGGAAGGTGGCTCAGTGGTAGAGCACTTGCCTTGCATGCTCGAGGCCCTGGGTTCGATTCCTCAGCACCACATAAGCAAAAAGAAAAAAGCCGGAAGTGGCGCTATGGCTCAAGGGGTAGAGCGCTAGCCTTGAGCTGAAGAGCTGAGGGATAGTGCCCAGGCCCAGCGTTCAGGCCCACAACCAGACCCCCCCCCCCCCCCCCCGCAAAAAAAAGAGCTGAAGGAGGGGCTGGGATGCAGCTCAGTGGCAAAGCGCTTGCCTAGCAAGTGCAACGTCCTGGGTTCGATCCCCAATACCAAAAAAGAAAAGACAGGGCTGGGAAGGTAGCTCAGTGGTAGAGCGCTTGCCTTGCATGCATGAGGCGCTGGGTTCAATTCCTCAGCACCACATAAGCAGAAAAAGCCAGAAGTGGCGCTGTGGCTCAAGTGGTAACCTTGAGCTGAAGAGCTGAGGGACAGTGCCCAGACCCAGAGTTTAGGACCCATGACTGACCAGAAAAAAAAAAAAGTTCTATGTTGGCCAGGCATGGTGGCTCATGCCTATAATCTTAGGTACTTAGGAGGCTAAGATTTGAGGATCAAAGTTCAAAGCCAGCCAGTGAGCAAGAGAGCCTATGAGACTCTTATCTCCAATTAACCACTCAGAAAACTGGAGGTGACCCTGTGGCTCAAGTGGTAGAGCACTAGCCTTGAGCTGAAGAGCTTAGGGATAGTGCCCAGGCCCAGAGTTCAAGCCCCGCAACCAACCAACCAAAAAGAAAGAAAGAAAAAAAAGAAATGTTCTATGTTACACAGATACACCAGAGTTGAGTTCATACCATACATACATAGGTCAGGAAAAGAGTGGTGATAGCTGTAGACTCTAGGTTCCATAAGGAGCCACATCAGACTTGAATCTTTCTTTCTTTCTTTTTTTTTTTCTTTTTTTGGAAATTAAAGAGTTCTGTTTCCTTTTCTTTCTTTCTTTCTTTTTCTTTTTTTTTTTTGTCAGTCATGGGGCTTGAACTCTGGACCTGGGTGCTGTCCCTCAGCTCTTCAGCTCAAGGCTAGGGCTCTACCACTTGAGCCACAGGGCCACTTCCTTGAATATTTCTTATACTTCTTGCTCTTGTGCCTAGAGGATGGGAGGGAAGGCCAGAAAAATACCAAAGGGATCCAAGCTACTTTCCTCCCCAACCCAACCCAACATCTCCCCCTGCCCCTTACCCCCCTCCCCCACTCAAAGCCTCTTCTTAGGCACAAGCTCCCCCTGGTGGTTTCCTCTTGTCACTTCCAGTTCCACCTATTACTCTCAAGCTGGCACATACTTGCAGATTTCTCAACCAAGGACTGAGAAAGCCTAGCAGGGGTGGGGAACCTCTGGCCTGCAAGCCATATAAGGTCTGGGAAATCATTCGGTACATGACAGGACAGACAGGTATGCCTCTGCTTAACTGCCCAGAGTTATCTGCCTGTTTTGATAATTTTGTATGGTCCTTTAATGATTACATAAATATCCAAAGAGCCCTTGGTAGAAAAAAGTTTCTCCAACCCTACTAGAGGTAATAAATCAAGGTTCTTTGAGGGCAAGAAAGAAGAAGAGGAGGAGGAGGTGGTGGTCAGGAAAAAATTCAGAAAACAGAATCATAGAGGAAGGGAGTCCTGGGATTCTAAGGACAGTGTCACCTAGACAAATGGAGCTTGAGCTACCAAAAGTCTTCTTTCTGACTAGAACTGGGAGGAAGTTGAAGGTACAACCATTTCCTGGGTTGACTCAGTAAAAATATGGTCAAATTTCCATGAATTTGAAATACAAAAATGTTATATTTAGGGCTGAGAAGGTGGCTCATTAGAAGAGTGCTTGCCTTATATGCATGAGGCCTTGGTTTCCATTCCTTAGCACCTCATAAGCAAAAAAAGCCGGAAGTAGAGCTGTGGCTCAAGTGGTAGAGCGCTAGTCTTGAGCTGAAGAGCTGAGGGACAGTGCCCAGGCCCAGAGTTCAGGCCCCACAACAACAAAAAGTTATATTTTAAAAAAATCAATAAAGGGCTGGGAAGGTGGCTCAGTGGTAGAGCGCTTGCCTTGCATGCCTGAGGCCCTGGGTTTGATTACTCAGCACCACATAAGCAAAAAGAAAAAAGCTGGAAGTGGCACTGTGGCTCAAGTGGAGAGCACTAGCCTTGAGCTGAAGAGCTGAGGGACAGCGCCCAGGCCCAGAGTTCAAGCCCCATGACCAGACCCCCCCCAAAAAAAGATCAATAAAGTCTAATTTTATACACAAAATATGAAATGGAGGTACATCTCTCTTAAATAAACCACTGTGTGTGTGTGTGTGTGTGTGTGTGTGAGAGAGAGAGAGAGAGAGAGAGAGAGAGAGAGAGAGAGCTGGTCCTAGGGCTTGAACTCAGGGCCTGAGCACTGTCCCTAAGTTCTTTGCTCAAGGTTAGCACTTCACTACTTAAGCCACAACTTCATTTCCAGCTGTTTTTTGGTAGTTAATTGGAGATAAGAGTCTCTCGGATGGACTTTCCTGCCTGGGCTGGCTTTGGTCTGCCATCTTCAGATCTCAAGCTCAAGTAGTGAGAATTACAGGCATAAGCCACAGTCCCTGAAAAAACTTTTTTGAGGTCTGGAATATAACTCAATGGTAGAACACTTATCTAGCATTGCTTGGGTCCTACATTTGATTTTCAGCACCACAAAAAGTTTTTTTGTTTGTTTGTTTGGTTGGTTGGTTTTTCTTTTGTAGGTCGTGGGGCTTGAACTCTGGGCCTGGGTGCTATCTTTGAGCTCTTCAGCTCAAGGCTAGAACTTTACCACTTGAGCCACAGCATCATTTCCAATTTTCTGGTGGTTAATTGGAGATTAGAGTCTCACTGATATTCCTGCCCAGGCTGGTTTTGAACCTCCATCTTCAGATCTCAGCTTTCTGAGTAGCTAGGATTACAGGTGTGAGCAGCGCCTGGCCAAAGAAGAAGGTTTTAAAAAAATCTTTGTCTGGCTGCTGGTG